TGGTGCTGAACGTTGTGTTCGTATTCAAAGTCCACACATATTATTATTATAAATATTATTATTAGACTGATTCTTAATTTACCACTAGGCAATATTAACCATTCATTTACATTAGCCGATAACGTTGGATTGACTATTTTATTCACGCAGCACTTGCTAATTCATGGCGTTGGTATACTGAAAACAGTCATGTTGTCTCGTCATTATTGAAAGTTCAACACTCGGCCTGTTGTACCGATTACCGTGCAAGTTTGACACGAGTTTGACCGATATTCTCAATATTGGACACAGATTCACGAAACACATAGTACGCGTGGACTGTTACTTCAAAGATAAAACATTAGTATCACACGAGGACGATAAACATAATTTCAGTGTGTACGGACTGATTATCTTTGTTTACTTGTATTAACGCGCGTTGGTCGTCGTATCACGCAAACAATTTGTGTCGATAAGCACATTAAATTAATGCAACTATTTATTTTATATAATATTTCAATTCATTAGAGAGAAAATATCCATCATTATTAAGTATGATGGATAGTTTTGTTTACATACAACCCGGATGGTGTGATTCGCTGAAAAAAATCCTGGTAAGGCATTAGTATTCTTGAATAATCACCAATCCACTGATATTGATCATAATATTGGTTGGTCTATTAAAATATTATTTTTATTTCACAAGTTTCATCTGTCCACCCATGCGTCCGAACCCTATTCTTTGGAATGGATTTACATTTATCCACCAAGCTACACCAATGCTTTATTTAATCAGAGAAGTCGCTGGCGGCCATTTTGTGGAACGATGTAAAATAAGTATAACAAGCGGGGTTTTCGGCAACCGGCTCTTAAAAAATTACTGGGTCAATTCCATCTAAACCTTATATGATGGTAGTACATAGTGAGTTATTTTTTCATTTTCACTTTCATGTTGAACCTTTCAAGTTGTTTGAATGTTTTTTTGTGCGGAAATCCCTATTGTTAAGTCAGTGTTAAATTATTAACGGAAACGGTGTTTTTACAATAATTGTTAAAATTCCCTTTTCATTTACGAATATTCTCTGCATTCAGCTCTTGTGTTCAATGGAATGTATTACCATTACAATGATATCATTCTAATCCCCCTAAAACTTATGATATAACAATATTTATAATGTGTATTTTTACAAACAATCCTAATCACCACAGCTGAATAAAATAATTACAAATGCCGAAATGAATAATATATATATATATAAGCCAGGAAATGCACATAATACATTTTCAAACAATCAGGAAAGCTTTCTTGAGCCGAGGTGGTTGAGTCTGTGTTTAAAATTACTGATATTTGTGCAGTGTTTAATACATATGGATGACGTGTTTAATGGCAGAATCTTTTCAGGCTTCAATTGTCTCCGTGGGACCTTACTCGCAACGTTCGAGCACGCTCCAGTGCGCTGGGCTAAACATTTATTATATACTTCCCGCAATTCGGGTAAATTTAGTCCGTCAAATATTTTCTATATATATGTCTGATTGCCCTGAAACTACAACTTTAAAGCAAATTGCTGCCACCTAGAATCATATTCGGTGCAAATACGTCACAATTGAAGGAGCACAGATAACACGTATATATATAAATATACATTTCTCAAATGTGAAAATTCAAACTATGGACTTGGAGTAGAGACTTGGCTCGATGTTTAAACTAAACAACATCGAGAGGCAATATCTAAACATTTTTATGAAAACAAGAATACTTGGACTACTTTCACTGCATTAAATATTTGTATTTGATATTCGATTCTGATAAAAGCAACACCATGACAGTGCTATGATTTATCATAAACGTATAGCGTTTAATTTAACAGTAAATACAGCTGTATTCTTTGGGTGTAATGAACAATCCAAAACACCGTTTATAGCACATAAACAAACCAACATTTGTCACATTGCCTTTTTAAAAAATACAACTACCGGATGTTTGCTGAAATGAGCGCCGTCCGGAGTACACGCTGCTGCTCAGTTCGTCCATTAGAAACAATTATACTAACATTTTTTTTACATTTGTGTAACAGAATGACCGACATACCACCTCTACTCATTGAAAACACTGTTAACATAACTTCACATTTAACAACATTCAACGACACTCCGTCAGCTGCGAATGAAACGGGTGGTAGTCCTGTGGAATTACTGGTAAACAGAACAATCAACTTGAAGGCTAACATAACTGCCAAGGCTAACATAACTGCCGAGACGAGAGAACGTCTAAAGTACTTGACAGAAACTGATGCTCAACTACGACAGCAGTGGAAACTTAACCGAGATAAAATTAGCGGCATCAGGTATTTAATGTTGGGTTATACATCTACGGGTCACATCAGTACGTATGTTTCGGAGTCCATATCATGGTGAATATTCTGAAATAGCGCTTGCGCACTGACAACAAAGGCATTTTAGTGTGTTGAAGACAACGTTTGAACAATATCGATCAGCTTATCATAAACGCAAATAAAAACACCAATGATGAGACATTTTTTTGATAAATAGAATTTGCAATGCTCGGTTATAACTGGATAAATGATACCCGGGTATCTTGCAAATATTCAAACTGTATTTGATTTAAACATATTGTATATATGTAACGTTAAACGACCCGGCTTGTTTGTGTTCCGAACCACTTATGTATTGTTTACTCCCACAGAAATCGTCTGAAGCGTATCGGTAAAAATCAGTTTATTTACACGAAGGAAAATACCCATGTTGGCAGAAAGTATTACAATACGTGGAATGGAATGACGAAGATCGATAGCTGCAAGCGAATGTTACTACCCCAGGTAATAACGTTAATGTGTTTAATATTAATCCAGCACACAATGCGATCAATATCATACATGGACTTAATTAAAGTGGATCGACAATACGTCAACAAAAAGAGGAAGCAATTACTTTCTTGTTAGAAAATATGAATAAATTATTCATGAGTTGATACAAAATGGCCATGTCAGTTTTACTGATTTGGTTTTGATTATGTGTTCTATATATATATAGAGTTCAAGTTCATTATTGTGTCTGCCCTAGAGTGAGCAATTAAGTAAATTAACCTTTGACTACATTCCCTGTAGTACATTGTATGAAATGAACAACTAAGTGTGATGCAATCTCGTAGCAAATATTCAAAATATATGCAAAATACATCCCCTACGAAGGTCATTTTTTCTTTGCTGTATTCTTCTATAACGGCAGTAACCTGTAATGTCACACGTCAATGAGACTTAAAATGATCGCGGCCAACTAGTGGTAATTTTAAAAGAACTTCAGTTTCTAGATATTTGCCAAGCCAAAGGTTCCAACACATACGTGGCTAAGAGCTAATGAAAAACGGATATTCGAACTTGTTTCCATGGAAACAACGTAATCACATTTCGTTTTAAAACTTAAGGAAGTTATTTATTGATTGAGGTCGACTTTGTATATGCCTTCGTTCGACGAGTATGAAATCTAATTCAAATAAAATCTTAGTATGTGTTTTTTTAAATATGTATTTAATTTATTATTTTTCGTATATATATATTTTTATTATTTATTTGTCATAGATTTTTAAACTCTAGTGGAGTGTTTCAATTTAGAAAAGCCTAAAAGATAGTTTCACACTATTATATTCGCGGATAGTTCCGTCCTACATTACACCCAGTACAAATTCTATTGGAAGAGACAACATTATTTGATCGTGTGCTTTTATTGTGTAATAAAGGATCCACAGAGATATTGGAACGGCTACACTCCCACATCACAATTACAATAATTGTATACGTTTACTTTATTGCTTCATAATATATCGCAATTGCTATATCTCCTGTCGTAGGCGTCTCCATTCGCAAACGTGCCGTTATTCAATAAATGTGCCATTGTTGGAAATGGCGGAATCCTGCGGAATAGTAGCTGTGGTAAAGAGATTGACCAATACAAGTTTGTAATGAGGTAATGCTTGATCGTTTTTGAGATATTTATTAAAATAAGAAGGTCGCTTTTCATGGGGGGGGGGTATGCGCTTTGCACTACCACATACCCATTATAAACAATCTGTAGATTATATTGCATTTGAAATGAGGGAGATAGAGTCAGCTGGCGACGGAGCACCTGCAGGCCATCATAGCCGATGCGTGTGTGACAGATAAATTGGCATGTACAAAGTATTTTAACACCCACCAAATGCACTATATACTATATATACATGTACATAGGCACAAGACAGAGCATCTATCTATGATAGCGTATGACGAAATATTCAATTTTAGATTCCAAGAAACACCAGTTCATTGTACCTCATTGTTCAAGTTGTTTTGTTCAAGTTCTGTGGTTGGGGTTGGGCAAATCTAGTATATTGATTACCATTTATCTATTTTCAGGTCTAACCTTCAACCTCTGGGTCACTACACAGTTGACGCTGGACGGAGGACCAACTTGACCAGTATGAATCCCAGTGTTATTAAGGACAGGTACTTTATTTACTTGGTCAATTTCGTCTTGGTCTCACCTTGACTCCCTCCACCTGTAGAAATAAAAAAAGCATGGCTTCCAACCATGTCGTCTCTTCTGACCTATTATTGTATACATGTATGTATATAAAAAGTGGTCCCATACTTGCATTGTATTCCAAGTTGCCATAGAAACCTCAGACAACTAATATTAATCACCTGACAAAACTGGACAGTAATAGCATTATAAATGAATGACAACATGGACTATTCATAGAAGCTGAATTGTTTAAGTTACGAACATCTAGTTTTGCAAATGCAGGCCCGTCACTCAATGTGGCTTTGCAAAAAATAATTATGGTTTTCCATGTAATACGAACAATGCAGCATTTCTATTTACTACACTGTTGGTACGCCATCATATTGATGATAAAAGGGCGGTTGTCATCGCGCCACGCATGAGCGAGACATGATACAAAGATGGCGTCTTTGACTGTTGCGACTGATCAACAAGTATGAGCTAATGCATTGCTAAGCCTTAACTATATAATTTCTTCGATGATTGGAAGGGATCATTTGTAGTTATCGAGCACACCAGTATAGGCGACAAAGTCTCAAAGCCAATAGTCTACGATAGTTGTTTTAAGGAGGTGATCGTTGCATTACGGATATGCAAGATTTGAGTACATGAAAAGTGTGTTCCCCCACAACCCAGTGGCAAACAGGAAATCTCGTGTTAATTTGACCGCGACGTGATGTGGTAGATTATTGTTATCACAGATAATGTCTGTCATGATATAGGCACCTATCTATTGGGTTAAATGCTTTCTCAGCGGTCTTAGTAACTATGAATTGGTTAAATCTTGCAATGTCTCGTGTTTGTACTTGTTGATCTGCGCAAAACCCAACGCCGCCATCTTTGTTACTATGGAATCCATATCTCGCGCATGCGTGGCGCTACGACCACCGCCACCTAACCATATTGCCTTTTCTGTGTTTAGGTTTGCTCTGCTACAAAACCCTGATAACATCACAAGTTTCCTTGATGCATTATCGGAGTATACTGGATATATATTGTGGATTCCAAACAGCAAAATGGTTACGCACGAATTAGCCTTTGATGTTACTACTTTGCTGCAGCAAAACTCCACGCTGGAAATGCTGCTATCAGACGCAAAATATTTCGGAATACTTAAAAAGTTTTGGAAATCGAAAAAACAGTTATCATCAGGTACAATCTTAAGTTATTATTACTAACATACAAAATGACTGAACGTCCATCGCTGTACCTACTCTTTTATTTGTTTATGACAATAACCAAAATTAATATTATTATATCAAATTAATATCCAGAGCTGCGTGCATTCCCTTATGCACACAGGATATATGGCAATTGATTCCCCTTTGAGGTATAGATGCAGGATCATGGGCACTCGAAGTGAACAATTGACAGTCTTTGTGGAACATGTTCAAAACAATTTAGACATACAGGAATCCGGGACACGCGCCTGAAATCAAATATCCCGAAAGTTTGTTTACGTTGCTCTATGGTCAACAAGTTGTTGTCCTCAGAACGGCGCGGCGGTTGTGACTTCCTGTCCTGACCTCAAGCACGATCAACTACCTTAGCCTCACAAACTACAAAAAACAGACAAGACGTAGTCGCCTCCAGTATATCAAGTGGAATAAACACACACACACATACAGACAAAAAATAAGTAAATGATAAATAAACTTCTCACCCTTATCTCAATTATATCCGGGTCGCCAACTTCTAGCCTGGTAGCTTCCAGTGGCATACTGTGAAATACTTTTATTTGATTAATTAATTTGAATTTTATTCATTTTCACGTAGGAGGAATAAAAGGCCCGATAGCGCGATTTAATTTTCGCGCAATATAACGAAGGTCACACTTTATTTTGCTCTAATGGTGCATAGATTTCAAGCTTTTCTTTTGAATTGTGGACGAAACTAAAAAACGTTCTTACGCATCTTCTCCAAAGGCATTTTAACACTGAAGTAAAAAAAAATCGTTTCGCTGCCAGCTGACTATCATTGCGATGCAATAACAACCACCACTGCCGTTGCTATTAACGATACCTAACTTTTCAGTGTCAAAGACGCAAAAATAAAATCCTCGGATAATTAAAAAAATACCCTGGAAAATGCATCAAAATGGCAACAATTGCTGTTTTTAAACATCACGGAAAAATTACGCACTCTGCGATGCCATCTTTGTTACCATGATCGGAATGCCCCTTGTCACCTAGCACCGGTAGCGTACGTTCTATGACCGTGCTCGGCGACCTACGGTGCCACGGCACTCTATGAATGAGGTATTTCCAGGGTCAGGGTTCATCTCATTTTTTACCATCTCGTCTGTAGTTGAATGAAATCTACCTCGTTTCACAATAATTACTCTTCCTATGCGACTTCTTTCCGATTTTGTCTCACCGGCGTTTGAACGTTTGAGTAGTAGTAAACGCTAAAATAGCCGTTGCGGTAACAACTATTTCACACCACTCATTTCACTCCAAGTGCCCACGAACTTGCATCTCATTTTCAATAAATTGCGCTCACTAGCGACGTTGGTGAGTATGGTGGGGAGTCGTCCGTCAGTAGCACATATATGCGTTTACTGATTTGAATTTTGGATTTCCCGGATACACATCTCAAAGTGAGGCTGGCCGGAAATGGAGTGCAAGCAAGACGTCTGCTTTTGTCATGGCGGCAAATACAGACACGTCCGTTTGCTGGTACTCGGTCACGTTGTTTGGTACATCCACAAGCACAAAATCACGCCGTTCATGTATATGTTGCACCTCATATCCCGTATGCGCGCTCATGCTAAAATGCTGTATTTTCGACGGACAACCGGGAAAGTTGTCTACTAGTATGCACAAGGCACAAGTACTGTTCACGGTGTACGGTGGACTCGGAGTGTTTTTAATGTCTGAAAGTGTCATACAAAGACTGATTCGTGAATTCGTTTCAAATACAAACCCTGTTAACAGTTTCCCTATATTTTACAGGTATGATGCTGGTCAGCTTAGGGATAAATGTATACGAGCAAATTCATCTGTACGGGTTTTGGCCGTTCGAGTACGACGCTACAGGGCGTTATTTACCAATGCACTACTCCGAAGACTTGGACTGGTCTACCTTCCCTGGCAACCACGACTATTCATTTGAATTCAAAGTGCTGACCAAGCTTCACTCTGACGGCGTTCTCAAGCTACACATCGATAAATGTTCTTTATAATATCGAAGATTGTTTATTTCTAAAACTTATCAACAGTATTACTGTTCAAGTATCGTGTAGACATGCATTGACTGTGCTGATGCCACGACATCCATGCGTTCAATAATTACACTCTACAAATGCTTTGTATCAAACCCAAACTTGGATGCAGTTATAGTATGAAAGATCTGATTGGCCGATATATCGTTGCGAGCGGGAGAGCCATACGACTTGTTTCTGTCACATTCCAAGCACTGGCGGCGCTCTCACTTCCGTTCCATTCATCTGCATTTTCACCACTGCCACATCGTGTTTGCATATCGAAGCATAATAACATAATCAAAGACGTTTCGAAGTATCTTCGAGTCGCGCAATAATTTTGAAAATCACTTTTCCTTTCTTGTACGTAAACTTCGAATACGCATTCCCCTAATCATCCGAATCTCGCCGCTGCCATTTCGCGACATTAGTGTAAGGAATTTTTATCAAATAAAGCACACTTATTTTAGCCAAACACCACACTTTGGACAGAATAGGTCTCATACAAGAGATATTGCCTAAACACACTTTCTGTTGGGCTTGCGAAAACTAAACTGTTTCATTTGTTATCACATGGCGAGAAATGCTATTGCGATGATTAATAGTTACTAGTTATATGCGCCGTACTCGACTTTCGTAAGCTACGCTGGGAACAAGCGAAGGACACAGTGGACACGTGATTACAGAATACTAGTCTCGTGACTTGCTCGCTTTCAACCAGATCTCGGCGGCTATTTGGCCGTTCACCGTGCTATTTTGAAATGAAAATAAATCTTGTTTTTATTTATCGATTATACTAATTGTTTTTTGTGAAATTTATGTCATTTGAAATCTATTTCAATAGAGGGGTTGTTTTGTTTGTTGTATGAGGGCTCGTCACGGTCAATCTGTGCAGATATTAACATTTTAATGATGCTTTAAAAAGCATGCAACGTTGTCACGCTCGCAGCAAACACGTCAAACACTTGCCAGTATTTGATTCTACGCCCGATCTTACATAATAAGCTAGTCATGTGATATTAAAGTTGCGACTCATAACAAGAACATCCCATAAAATCGCGATTATCTTCTCAGCCTTGTTTGAAACATTTGCGCGTAATCCCGGCACAGGTCGTTCATCGTTTGTTATTCGTTTACTCCAACCTCCGTCACGGTAAATTCAATTCTCAAATATTAGTAAACTTCGATTTGAGGTCTGCCCAAGTACTAGAATTGGGGCTCAATTTCTCACGTTACTATACCTTAAGCAAAACCGTTGTTCTTGTCGGTTTATATGGATGTAAACATTGAAGTCATGCAGTCCATGTTTTTCATCAAAAAACAAGTTAGCTATGTGTGTGACGTCAGTGTAGAGAAACAGCCTGAGTTGTACGGCGGGCATTTTGTGTTGATTTCGCTAGGAATCGGTTGATATTTTCCCATTTCTATTATTTTATATTCCCTCTAAGAAGGTATTACGGAATATGCATGTTGTTTCCGAGACGTGGGTGTTTTAGCTTATAATGTTACAAGTAACTATGGTTTCTGTAAATATTTATCACACGTGACAGTTAACTTGAATGTTTACGTCGTATGATAAATTTATGTGAAATATATAAAATACAAAACTATGCATAATATGGCGTATTTGGAAAATACACGTGAACTCACGGATTTCGATGTAAAATATTGCCTACTGTGGCAGAGAGGCGCCAGCAACGACAATAATCTGTCTATAATGCTACTCCCATTCAAAGACATTATATTATGTGCATATTGTTTTTAGAAGATTTGTTCACAGGTATTGGGCAGTTTGTTTTATAGTTTGTGTGTTGCTTGTTTAGAGATGGCAAATCATCTTGTAAGACGTGCCCTAGATCGTCGTTAACATCTTCACAATAATGCATCAAGATAATTAATTAAGTAAGTTACGTCATCACAGGTCTGAGGTTGAACATACAATAGTAATTTCGTGTTATTTTGTATAGCTGGTGAAGACTTTCGTTTTTAACTAAACACAATCGTCAGTCGATGGACATTTTGACGGCCGTAAAAAATTACAGCTTGCTAAACAGATGTCATAATAATGTTAACGCTTTCCGTGAAAATATACACATTTAGTAATGAGGGCGAAGAGAAGATGCTTGATTTGAGATGGGCGCATATACTCGTGAAGGTGTAATGTGAGACCATGGTAAAACTGTGAGATGTATATGGGACGTTGGATGGTACGCGTACATTAAATATATAATTATTAGTAACGATGTATCCGGGATATTCCAAATTTAACAGTGATTTACCTGTGTACGTTGGGAAAAGTGTTATTTGTTTTTCCTTATTGGTTATTGTGCTGGCTATGTTTCAGTGGTTTGGCCGCAACCTGCAAGGCTTCCAGTCACATGCGGAGACAAACGCAATTGCATCACTCTTTCCCCGGACACGTATTTTTTCATTGTCTTTTACTGCAGTTGCATAAATATTCAATAGGTTCGTGAAGGAATTTGAAAAATTATCAGAGTAAGGGAAAAACACTTCTGTTTCCTAGATAAATGAATATTTGCTAAATTAATTATTTTGTCTTCGGCTTCGAATGTTTGATCTATGGATGTTAAACAATAACGTGTATGTGTGTTTAATTTTGTGAGCGAATCTCACTTTCTCGAAGGCGTGCGCCTCCAGCGACGATATGCTTACTCGGATAACGCGGAAGTTATGATATTACGTTTTTACAAAGCGAGCTGTAATATAGAAGACTAAATGCATTGGAAATGTATTCCGTTCTGTGGATCTCTATTACAGGTGGGCCCAGACTGGTGTCAAGTTTAGATCCCTGCAAATAAAATTAAACTACAGCAGTTTTATTGCGAAAAACAATGGAATAGAAGTATTTAAATTGAGGCTTCATAGTTCTCACCTTTTACTTCAGAAGACTATGAACATGGTGTGACCGGTGAAACCGCTTGCACTTTTGTGTTTTGTCACAGACAAGGCAGACGAACTGGAAAAAATCGTCTCATGTTTTGCGCATAAAAACTTAAACTAAGCAATACTGATACAAGTAACGCCCGATGATACCGTACTACATCTCATATTGATGTCCCAAAGCGTCTGAATTGTATTATAAGAAACGAATTACGTTTTGTTTACAAGATATATATCATTATGGCAATCAGGGATAGGTTAACTGCCAGTTAAAACGCGCTTAACGCTATATTGAAATTGGAAAGTGGCTGTCACGACAGGACCTGAATCTGAATCCATGTTTATAGTAACCGTGTATTGAGTTGGATATATAGCGTACTTTCTTAATTACGCCCGCCTGCATATCACTGCCTCGAGGGACATGCCAGGAGTACACACATAGCAAACATAGTATGATTCAGTTCAAGGTCAAGTCTAGAGGTGGGTGTGCTTTGTGTAGTTCAGACGTTGTACTTCTCGGTGGATTTTACTGCAGTTAACGGCAGTGATTAGCTTTATGTTATGAAGTGTATTTTGTTTGGGCAAATGGATTACACAATATAGCAAACGTAGTATGATTCAGCTGAAGGGGATGTCTATAGGTAGGTGTGCTTTTTTTAGTTCAGACGTATAAAACAGTGGATACATATGTGTGCTACATGTGCTACAAAGCAAGTGCGGTTGCTAGAAATTAACATGGAAGGTACTAACGGTGAAATTAACTACTGGTGGTCCGAGTCGCCGGGCCGAGTCGTCGGTCGCGCAGCCCGTGTTCGAATTTCATGTAAACAAACTAATTGAATGTATTTTACATGCGTTGTATATACTAGTAGTACGTCGCTATGAGTCCCGTATCGAACAGGACGCGGCGCGAAAACCACCAACCTTTAATATGTAAACGTCGTGGGCGTATTCAAGATGACACCGTGCCGATGCATGTACTCATTGACATTACTTACTTCCGTAATCACGGAATCGCAAAGGCATATGGGAAACATTAACGTCACGTTTGCATTCATCCTGTTAAGAATATGCTAATTATGTATTTGCGCTGACTACAGTCTTTCTTTATAGTAACCGTGCCTTGAGTTGGATCGCGTACGTACTTTCTTTATTACCCGGACACGTCCGTCTGTGTATCAATGCCCCAGGGGCACGCCGGAGGGCGACAGGAGTACACAATATAGCAAACGCTAGTATGATTCAGCTCAAGGTGATGTCTAGAGGTAGGTGTGTGTTTTTTTAGTTCAGACGTTGTACTTCCCGGTGGATTTTACTGTAGTTAACGGCAGCGATTACCTTTATTCTATGAAGTGTGTTTTGTGGATGGATTTGCCGATTATTGGCTGTGGTCCAGCACAACAACCACTGCGATAGGCTACACCGAGCTATTTCTACATAACGTATAAAACAGTGGATATATAATCAGCCCAGAACCATAAACTGATAAATATAACTGCCGTTAACCGCATCTATTATTACGTGTGACATCCCCCAAGGACAATAAAGAAGACAAATCAGTTCAATACGTTAAAAAATTATATGAACAGTGTTATTTTACAAGCTCCGGTCATACAGTATTGTCTTGAGTGGGTCAATAGTTGTCGAAAACACAAAGCCCGTTAACAATTGAACAACTAGATTAAATTAAACACAATTACCTAATGGCATATTAGATTGTGAAGATGTGAAATGTCTTTCATTCCGTTTTACCCGTGTCAATGGCAGAGTCAATGCCTAACAATCAGACCAATCAGAGAGAGGTTTATTTGTTGACACGTTTTTTTTGACGTATCAAAATCATTCTTGTATATATGCTTCGACTCGACTGCGATGACGCAATGACGTGTTTGTTAAATCTCAGACTGGTTGTCTGAGGTTAAATCTTCTAGTACATGTACGTTGAACACGGACATGTGCATATGTCATTGAACTGTGTGGAATACCACAATCTAGATGTTATCCGGCATACTACAGGTAGATAACTCATCGTATATTGGTTTGATTCATAACACATATTGCATAATATGTACAAGACGTTCAGCGTGGGCACATATGTGAATATTGTTCTGACAGCTATATCCGCCGTGGGAATCTCGCTCTGTTAAACAAAATGCGTCGGCATCCTATAGGTTAAAATGTTAAATTGAACTGTTGTTTCCTTCACAATAGAGGACTCATGTCATTATATGAACTTGGGCCACTTTGAAAGGGACAGCTTTGTACCACGCTATACATAGAATGATTTGTTTGTACACTGCCGTGGCCAAATCGAATCACTCACTGATTTTCGACTTCTTGTTAAAAACCGCAAATCCGATTGCTGGTATTACATGTAGACCTCTCTCAGATTTGTTCATTTTGTGATGATATCTTTAATACTCTAATGTTGGTGAATATGTTTGTCATTTTTGGTGAAAAGTGATATTTTCGAAATCTTGTTGAAAACAGCAAGTCTGATTGCGTTGATACTATACATATTGTTTTTTTTTTTTAATGACATTTTCAGTTTTTAATTGAAATGTGCATTGCTAACAGCGGAGCTATCTCAGCCGACTGGCTGCTTGTTTAAGTATAGTATGATCGTTTTTCAGTCATTTAAAAATACTAAAACTAGAATTTTCAGACAAAATTTAGAAAATTTGTCACACGATTAGTTTCGTATAAATGTTTTTTTTTTATAGTTTGAGTTATTTAAAATGATACTAAATATAATACACTACTTTAAAACTGAACTGATATTACACAACATAAATAAACCATCAAAATCATAGCGTCGTAGATATATGGTCAAATTGCAATTGCAAATATAGTGATGATTTGGCCTATAGTTTTCATCTTTGTGAAACCAGTGTCATATTGAAACACGTATACAAGCCTTATATATCTCAGATGTAAAATCATATTGCATATTTTTAATTTGCATAATTGGTCGACTGTCGTCCATATATTATTACACTTTTGGTCAAATACAATTTTAGGCACTGTATTAGAAAACAAAACTTATTTGTAATGTTCCTCATTAAATATTAATATCAAAAAAGGTTTAATCTTTGATCTTACAATATAGACTAGTTGTTGGACCCCCAGGAATTGCTATGGAAACAACCAATATATTCGTTTATTTCAGTGCACGTACTACAGCGAGTAGACAAATCAAAAGTGTAGATGACCGGAAACGTGTGTGTATAAAACCCAGTGAGAAGATGAAACAAAAGAAATCACCGTGTAGAACAGCATGGACGTGCAAGGCAATGGCAATGCTTAGTTATCTATTGGTGTTCTGTGCTGCAGTGATATCGTATGCTCATGTTTACACCATTCCTACGTACACACGAAACTACTTAATTAAAACAAGAGCAGCACTTACGTGAGTACTATATTTTTGATCAGGGAATACATTTATGAATACATTTTTCAACGGGGGGGGGGGGGGGGTCCGGACCCCTAGAGCCACCACTGATGATAAAGCGGATTATATTAGCAAGCAACACATAGTTTGAGGAGGCACTAACATATACACTCCCTTTATATTAGGTCACCGAAAATGGATTGTAAAGTTCTTGAAGCGACGAACCATACTTCCCCGAGTTTACCTTTTGTAGACGAGGAGATTGAGACTGGTGAGAAACCGATGGAAAAGCTGCCTGTTATAGTCAAACATAATATTCGACTCCGGCGTGTTAAGAAACGTCGGTGAGTGAATTATACATCAACATCGGGGTTCATGTAAAATACAAGACAGTAAATACGGAATGGATAGATTTGTGATACTGAATGTGGCGTACCCATGATCTATGTTGTGAGTACACCGTTCTAAAAATATCGCAATCTAGCGACGAAACGCTTATGTGGCACACAGTTCGTCCCATGGTGCCGTTCGGCTATTATATCTACTATAAATATCTCAAGAACGCCTTACATTGATCCCAAGGACGACCTTTCTAAGAATCCTTTCCCCCCATCATGGTAGCATTTCGTCAATAGAGGACGCAATGGGAAGGTTTAAAGCTCAGTATTCATACCTACTACTGTTTCTAGATTGATTGTTTTGTAAGTTTCCTGTCCCTGTTACGTTTTAATCGGCAGGAAACAAAAGAAGAAGAAACCAACTTTACAAGAATTACAAGAAAACCTAATACACACAGTCTCCGAACTACAAGAATGGCATTCAAACATCACACGATTACGGGAAATAAGGTAAGTCCGAGATATTGTAGTCGCCATTATGGTAATGGTACCACCGAAGGATCTGCAAATATGCGGCACGAACATGACTGAAGCAGAAAAGTTTATACACATTCACGTTCACAGGAGCCTGAGATAATGTTGTTCGGCAACCTACTTTATTTCCCGAAAATATTCTAATTTTGATAAATCAATGCACAAAACAAACGGAATCACGACTATGATAGGTTCATATTTCCGTTACCGATCTGTGTATCTTACATGGGGGGACAGTGCTTGTCCCAGGGTCCGTTCTTTTTGATTATCGGCTTATTCGTAACACTTGTTATTGTGGTCATGTGTAAATCACGTGTATGGTGTTTATATAGATGGGCGTGGTGTTTTTTAGTACACTTCAAAGGGTATCAGACAGTTCTCTGAGAGCTACCATTCTGTACTAGTGTCTGTCACGTCTGTCAAGACCAAAACATTTTTTTTAATTTTTTTTTTCCAGAAATAATATTATTCAGGACAACGGGACATCCTTACTTTTCACACAGGAGAACACTGCTATTGGCGAAAAATACTACAGTACATACTTCACCCGAGAAGTTGTAATAGATAGCGCAAAGAGGAGTTTATTTCCCGAAGTAAGTGCTTTCATGGGTGTTGTGCAGTGAGTGTTTTCTTTGGATTTGTAGCTACAGATATTTAATAGATTGCGTTCTCTAGTGACGAAGAGATTGTAATGTCCGAATGACGCAGTGTGTTGGCAATGTTGTTCAAATACTAGTAGTGAACTCCGTCATGTTTGGCGTTGTAACAGAGCAATGAAACAGATGATATTAAATAAATTGCCCGATTGCAACATGATTGCCTACTGACGGTTAACAATATGGTGACAACTGTCTGAATGTGAATACTCGGAGGGCCCAGGATCATGTGTATATATATATATATATATATATATATATATATATATATATATATATATATATATATATATATATATATATATATATTTAGATGTTAATTTGTATGCAAATTAGTTAATCTAAATTTACTAGTAGTTGAAATACACAAACTATGCGTAAACTACACGTATGACAAAACTTGGATGTTGCATTTTTCGTGGACATTCAAAAATCCATATTTCACAATACCCCGAAACGGCGTTCAAATTATCACAAAGCGCCATACATATTAGTACCGTATAAATACTGCAGTACACGGTGACACGGTGGTTAGAGCTGGGGTCGAAGTATAATCAAACTATCCAACACAATTATTACAGTGAAATGATGAACTTTTTCTGTAGTCGTGAAGTCACGCACACTGCTACGACTCGCCAGGGCTCGACGTGTTGCGATGAAATGACTCGAGTCGGGCGTGTCAAGGCGGACAGTGGGTTGATGACGTACTCTTGGGTATCACGTGATATAGCAACCCGCAAATAGCTGATTTTTTAATGACTTCTTTGCTTAAATTTTGTTCGGTAGGTGTCACCCTTTTCAAGCAGCGCCCCGGTGAAAACCTGTGCTATAGTTGGCAATAGTGGTATCCTACACAACAGTAACTGTGGAACCGAAATAGATAGCCACGATATGGTCATCAGGTAAATCGTCTAAAATTTCCCTTTGGAGGTGTCAATTAAAAAGCGACGTATTCATAATTTAAAAAAAAAATAGACAACAAATTAAATTATCTACGAATGTCATTCATATTTGGGGAACACTGAAAATAAATACTTCTCATCATTCAAACATGACACGCGATACTATTCGTTTGATGATAAATCAAAACCACTATTACGCATGCTCAGTGCACACTAAAACAACCAGCGCACATGCGTATTCGAGAATTTCACTTGTTTCATCGAACGAGTACTAGAACAAATTCATTTCTTGCAGTTATTTTCTTATGACTTGTCGACAATCTCAACATTTCATTTCATTTTTCACCTCCCATATTTACAAAGTTTGAATGCAACTTTAAGGGCAGGCCCGGCCTTTGCTCAGCAAACCCGACAAAATACAAGATACTGTTTGAAATGTTTAAATCGCGCGTATGTCGTCAGTATACTAATATGGTTTGTTCATAGCGTAATTATAACAATTTTGTAAATCTATTGTTTGTTTTGTCACATGTCAGGTCAAACCTTCCACCAATTAAGAAGTACGTGAAAGATGCCGGTAAAAAAACCAGCATAACCAGTCTTAGTCCGAGTGTGCCTATCGCGAGGTAAATAGCAATGTGATATAAAGCCTGCATTGTTTGAGTGGATTGTATTTTTTTTATTAGAAAATATATGTCTGATAATGAATTATATACTACAGTTGTTTGTCGTGGACGAGGGGTCACATGCTATAGGGTGTGTTAGTGCTGGTGTATGACAAAAGCAATATTAAGGTTGTAGTGTTGAGTGAAAGGTCAAACTTTTTATTTGGTTTGGATCAAAGTATGGATTGGCGTAAACATCGCACTCGAACATTTCAGTTGTTTTCATGGAGACACTATGTTTTATATGTATATCACGCTCCAATGTACCCGTGTTTTGATAAACTGTAGTACTGCTTTCATATAAAGAGCGCCATCTAGTGTCCTGTTGCACAAAAAGGTGAAATAAAGTTCACCAAAACCGCTGATAGTGTTCTGATCGGAAATTTACCATCAATATAACTTAATGTTCCTCAGAAATTGACAATATTCTAAGCAACGTGCGACTGCAAATAACAGTCGTTGTCTTGAACGTTTCCTACTTCAATCTACGCAATTTTTGATGGGAAGTACATTTTATTATTTTACGACAAAGTGACAGAAAATAACACTATTTAGATATTTATTGATAAAATGCGAAAACAAATTGTTTCTCCCTTCAATATCCGTCTGTGATAACAGTATAATAGGTGTACAATGTATTATTGGCAGTATTCATCACGTTTTAACTCTCATTCACAGGTCCCGTCCATCAAGATTTCTCAAAGCACTGAAGGAATACAGCGGATATATATTATGGGTACCAAATAGCAGTCGAATGCATTCCACTGACATTGCGTTTAATGTGACCCGATTAATACAGGAACACACCGATCTAACTGTATTGCATGCAAATGCTGTACACTTCGACAAAGTGAAGAAATACTGGAAACTTATAAAGAACATGTCAACAGGTAGATACAAAACGAATACGTGTTTTAATCTATGACATCGTTTAGATTTGTTTTGTGTTATGGAAAATGCTAACGGTTCTACATAAATAATGCATTATATCATGGCAATGTTTTAATTGCCCGGATAAGCCGTTCAGATTGGTCGAGAGTGTGTGCAAGTCCTGGTAAAACACACCACGGTTTGTCGTGTTCAGTTCCAGGGCCAATTTTTACTTTACCTCGGTTGCATTTAGGCTCTGGGTGCTGTATCACATTGGTTTATGAAGCTTTAAAGTTATTTCCATATCTCAGAATTACATTTAAAATTAAGACGGTATACAGTAATATACTGGTAATATACCACCGCCGAAGTCGGGAACTCGCCCAGTCCACTCTGTACGGGGTATTTTTGTAAGCTGTAATCAATTGTTTTTATTTTCGTAATAATGTAATTTAAATGAAAAAAAAGTAAATTCATAGACACGGGCAAGGTGTAAAACGTAATCAGTTATTTTATTCTTCCGTAATTTGAATAAAGATCTTATTTTTGTAAGCGTATAAGATATTTTCCCCATTAAAAATGTTGTACTGAGTACGCAATTTGCCAATTTTGATTCTTGAACACAAATTATAAAAATGTAAAATGTAATTAGGAATTTGCTTTATCTGTAAAGTGTAAAACCTATTTTTTTTACTGTAAATGTAACTTTCATTTTATTTCCTGCAATAGCGTAAAATGCTTTTCTTTATCCTTGTAATCTGTACCGGCCAGCCGCCCATGTCCCCCCCCCCTCCGTACATACATCGGCCCACGCTCATGTTTTTACGCCATGGTTTACCCGCATTTGGCGGTGGTTTATTGCCTCATTTTGCCTCGGAACTATATCACCCATGTGGGATAATCTGACAAAAATGTCTGCGCATCTAGTACTATTTGCGGTGCTATCACTTGGTGCCAGCCAGTCCCGGTCGAACACAACACATAGAACGGACCAAGGAGCGCTTCTATCAGTGATTAAAACTTGGCAACTCTTTGACAAACTCACCCGCATGAGAGTGGATTTCTATCAACATTACAAATATATATCAACATCACAAATGCATATAACGTACGCTTCTCTCTCTATTTGCATCCAGGCATAATGCTGATGTCATTGGGTGCGTGTTTTTGTGATGAACTTCATTTATATGGATTCTGGCCTTTTGAGATCAATTCGCGAGGAGAGCCCGTATCTATGCATTATACGAACGACTTTAGTTGGTCTACATTTCATCACACCCATGACTATCCATCGGAATTCGACCTGCTCATAAAACTTCACTCTGAAGGCGTACTCAAACTACACGTTAATAGTTGTAATACCGATGCATAGGGTTGCTCAACCAATCAGAAGACTCCATTGAAGAGCGTTATGCAAATGTATCGACCTGCTTCCGGTTATCACCTAATTCGACTGACTGCGCTAGAGTGCCACGCGTGGTAATTTCCACGAAGGTAAACTGTCACGTGACCTGTATAACGACCGGAAGTCAGACCGACCGCCATTTTTTCAACATCGGAGCCACAGATGCCATTTCAAAAGAGAAACATAATTTACACAACAGTCTGCTCTTATTACTTTCTCAGACCGCATTATTTGGTTTGTTATGTATGACGCAGTCTATGTCTTACACCAAATGTTATAATTCGCAATGGGACAGGAATTGTAAACATTTACGTATATTCAGATGATATCGAGTTTTAACATCTTAGAGCGTCATCAAATCGAACTCAATCGAACTAGACACATACTGTAAAATGACTAATTTTCACTGGGTTTAAATTTCACTGATTTACCATTTCAGGCATATTCGGTGGGTTTTAAATTCACGGTTTCGTCATTTAGATATTGTGTTCTATGCTACATTTTACATATTCACTGTGTTTTAATTTAGCGCATTTTCCAGTCAGCGAAATAAGCTAAATTAAAACCCAGTGAATAATTACTCCCTTTACAGTACGTTTCTAATGTGGCCCATTTAATTCATGAGAATCGATCAAAACAAATCGAAAGATTTGTTGATAAACCGCATCTCTACCTTAACTTTATACATGTTATATGAGAATTCCAAACATCTGCCCATTCAAGGTACAATTATTGCAACCTATATTTATAGCAAATAAAGAAGAATATTTTATGTAAATAAAGTGGCTGTAATATTACTCAATTTGTCAAATATGAAATGACAGTCTGTGCACGTAGCCATTGAATAAATTACGCCCTCTATTTTACTGTGTATAAGTGCTCGGATTCTTACTTGAGATCGATTCAAACTTGATGTTTTCTGGAAACTAAATGGATTCAGAAATAAGAGATGAGCACTATATGGAAGAATTAAAACATGTAACCACGGTAACCATGACATAGATCAAACATAATCAGAATGAATATAACATATGCCAGTTTGACGAACAAGGAATCGCTTCGTCTGCGGAACAACTTAAAATTGGTTCTTAGCAAAAGATAAACGTAAAGGTTGTTTACAATATTTTTCATCCCCTGCGCACGCGCGGGAATTGAGTCCCAAGCGACGATAACAACACACGCTAAAAACGCAAAGGCTCATGGGTAGACGCTTGTTTGTAAACAATGACACGCTATGGCCATCTGACGCATGCGCAGGTGACGACTCCTCTCTTTAACACACTAGGTTCAGTGGACGACGAATATTTTCACGATGAAATTAAAGGGAGACGGTCGTCACGCTGCGTCCTGTTTGATATTGTATACAAAGTGTGTAAAATGCATTGTTTGTTTACATAAAATCGAACAAGCGCTGCTCGACGACCACCGCCCTTTGATGAGACGTGGTGGACAACATGGAAAACATTGACAACGAAAATATTGATTTTACTTCAATGGTCAGAGTGTTTGGTATTGACGGGTTAACCAAGTATCATACAAATTAAACGTGGCAATGCTGCTGGGTTGGATGGCGTAGAGCCTGATATTGTTAAAGAAATGTTGTGCAAACTACTAGTACTAGAACAATACTACAAATGGATACAAGATTTCAAAATTTGACAGATACAATGTAGTAGGAACTTGACAATACGGAAGCTGGTCGCGTTGCTGCTTGTGCAGACTTTAAAATCAGTCAGTTTAAATTACAGCCATATTCATCGTTAATCGTAAAGTGCGTGTTTTTTCATACATGGCAAATACAAACTAATCTATTTCGATGTGGAAATCGGTCTGTACAAGCAAAATGCATGGCATAACGTCATCGCGAAGTTTAGTAGAAAGAGATTGTTAAACTTTGACAAATCTTGACAACAATAGTAACAGTGTTAAATTTAGGAAGTGCGCCCCTGGAAGTAACTGTGAAATCACGACTTTTCCGATAAGCCCGCCCTCAAGCTACGCGATTCTGTGACGTCAAACCACGTAAACGAATAGTTTTGAAATAGACTACTTTGGTTGTCTAGTTGTACATAATTTTGCACCAATGCCGAGCATGCATTATATATTAAAGTTGCAGACGTAACGGAGCTCAATTATAACACCCACTGGTCGTCTCATGCGTATACCAATTATAGTAGCGTAGTGTTTCATGGGTCCGATGGCAACCTATATACAGCGCCTGCACGGGACCCATAGCGACGTATACAACGCGTGTAAAATACATTGTTTATTTACATAAAATTCGAACACGCGCTACGCGACGACCAGCGCGCTTTAAATTATAACGACGTGTTGTTTACGGCATGTAGTGTCCATGCACCTAAAATTATCGCGACTGTGGTGAATTATGGAAGTTTGAAATTGCCGATTAATTAGTACATGTATTACTTTTTTTATTATCATCGGTACATTGATCACATACGTAAACTGAAGACAATTGTTATGACACCAAAGATTCACGAATCCAAACTTTCCACATCTATTCAGGCCTTTGAACACTATTTAAGCTAAGCGATATATGAAGTATTGGTTAAACGATAGTAATATAAAATTGACTTGTTACGACATTTATTTTCGAGGAATACCATCACATCCATCTTCACTCAAACCTCCATTCTCAGCTAAACCTGCAAATCCTAGTAGTTTAGTTTTATACCTGGTTCTCCTGACAATGTACAAAATCCTCGATAGCCCGATAATCTTTCCCCTTCATCAATTCCTGCCCCCCCCCCCTACAAATTTAACATGCGCCAAAAACCTGTTGCTTTCTTTTGTTTACATTCAAGTACCCACTCCATACTAACCCTACTAGCGGCTATAATACATATGAAAAAATCGTTCTGCGCTTCTGTTTGACTTGGGTATATAAAAACTGAATTCAACTGAATCGCATTTGTTTCAGTTTGTTTTATATAGGCAGAGTGAACAAGCAAGGCGTACGATCCCGTTCAAGTCGCTCTACTGAAGTAGCTATCGGGCGTGTTCTATGGAAGTGATAACTACTAGTAGTTTCGCGGGTTGTTCATTTCACGCTCTCCGGTTTTCAATTGAAGAGATAATAAATTATGCTAGGCTCCATAAACATAAACGTCAGCGTGTGTCGTATATTGAAATGAACATAGGGTCACTGTATCGATCGGCAGTAGACTCAATTTGTTATTTAGTTTATAGGTAATAAGAAAACTACTTGAAATGGAACGTACACTCAAGGACATTCACGGGGTACTGTACACGCATGCGTACTTTATGGAAAAAATAGGCGATTTTCACCCACGACCAAGATAGAATTCCGGCGTTAAGCGACATGTACTGATTGATGGCGAGGCCGAGGCTGCTATGTAGAATCGACAGAATTAAGAAGGCCGCGTCTTTGCTGGCAGTGTGTCTGTTTGTCAGTGTTGTCTGCGTTGCGACTGTAACATACGCCCATGAATTCAACATCACAAGCTTCGCAGAAGTGAAGATGAAAACTACCCAATCGCATCGAACGTAAGTTCATTTTCAAACCTACGCGTTGTTTTTGGGTCGTTAGAGCGATGTTAATTTTCCTAATTGTCAATCTAGTAACTGCGCATTTGTGGAGCTCTGAAATCGGGTAGCTATATTTAACAACATACCTTGCCATTATTAGTATATCTTAGACGTTATATCACAAATATACGGTATACTAGAAATCCACACGTCCAGGTTGATTTGAAATATCAGCGTAGTTAGACGGATATTTTCATGACACGGCTACTGTATTACTGATTTACTTTGCACCCACCATGATATCACACAACAATGTGCGTTTCGTCACGGATACATTACAGCTACATTAATGCAGCTACATTAGCGAAGTGGTAAATATATTGATTCATCACGTGTTTAATTAATTCATTTCACTTGTTTGAAATCAATATGTACATACGGCAGTAACCATAATTTGAGTTTTTACCAACATACTACGTTAGTATAGGAGTCGGTTATTTTAGAATTCATATAACAAACTAATCTGAGGCTTACAATGAACCGTAGTTTTATTTCACACAACGGTTGAGTTCACGTAGAATTGACTCCAACAAAGGCATTACAACAACAACCAGCTTAACATGTAAGAAAGACTGTAACTATAATGCAGGTATGTACCATATTGGACCAGCGCAAACGTATCCACAATGTAGAAAGTAAAAACACCGCATATGATGCGTTAATGTTAGTCAGAATTCTCGGCCAATACACACATCTGTACGTGGTAGCTCACCACGGTGCGACGTCCATCGTAATGTAATTATTACCAGAGACGTACCAATAATTCTTTAATGGGAAAGCTTAGAATAAAACAACGCAACATAATACAATTAGGAACTGGAGCCATACGGACATTTGGATAAAAATAAATATAAAAAAAGACATTTGAACTAGAACAACAATCTGCCGATACATTACATCCCTGAATGGTGTCAGAGCATCCGTTAGTACCTTGCATGGTCAGAGTTACTTCAGCTCAAAGTAAACACTATTCAACACCAATTAATCTGATTCGACTCGGTCATCAGGCATCGTGGAGCGCCCGGCATAATCTTAAAACCCGTGTCACCCGTAACAATTGTATGCTGGTACTTTGGAGACTTGAGTGACCTTAATCACACTGGTTTGTAATGTCAACTTGTCGAGTGCCAAGATAACACCTTTCTTTAAAACCAGACAACTTAATTCCGTGTGGCTGGTATATATTAACTACTTTCTCGGCAGTCTGTCCCAATTTCTGAGACGTTCCTGATCTAATACGTCAGCTGTATTTGTCCTATATAAGTGAAATGTGATTGGATATTTTCAATAGAATATATGTTAGTCTGATAAATTCGTTGCGTGTTCGGCTTATTGTTATTTACTCCCTGGATACATGTTTACCCCTAGCAACCAATAAACTTTCACCCTGTTCAGTGGATAGTAGCGACTGGATAACCTTCACAGCGGAAGTCGGATACCCAAACGAGTGACTTCTGGCAGTGTCGATATTTCACAGGGGCATGCTGGGATATAATTGAGCGTCACAGTGAAACATCACCACACATAAGTAGTGATATTAAACCGTGACATTCCTAAAGGGCTAGGCTGGGATTTCTTTCTGAGTTTTTGTCTCAAACGAGCCGAATGAGTGTTTATACGTCGTTTAACTAGACAAAATATCGCAGTATACTCGCTATTAGGGGCTGGTTATTCCCTGAAAACATATATTTTGTCCTGTCACTTAACATTTCTATTATACGGACAATAACAAGAATTATTGACGGAAATGCTGACGATATTATGGAGATGAAGAACTCATTTTAGTGCGCACTCAACATCCAACACACATAGTTTCCCGAGATACTAGTACATTTTTATTTCTCAGACGCCCTAACAAAATAGTGTTTTAGTATGCCATATATATATATACATGAAATAACGTATATTATCTTTCACCCAGGAATCAGCACTACGTGTCTGAAGACGGCGATACCATAAACCACGCATCCAGCTCGCATACCACAAACGTAAACGATACAATATGTTTGCATGACGGTGAAGAATTCACGAGTAAAGTAAAATATAAAACATCCAGATTTGTGGTTACAAAGAAACGATATAGGTACACGCAACTCTATGATCACTTTGCTTGAGCTTTCACGCTAGAAACTCGGGTCTATTCTTCTGTGTAGTCCGTGACGCGAACGATTGGTATTCATAATCGCTAGTTGATAATCGGTTACTAACTACCACCGAAGGGTACGGCTGCAGGAATAATATAACAGGTATAATATTAACTTGAAGTGATCGGCATGAGGAATTGCACCCTTGTTAATCGTCACAAGAGAATTGAATTCCGGCACGTCGGCGAAGAAGCAGTAACAACTCGCCGACAGTGTCGAAATGATATTATTTTTATTTATTTATTTGTAGATATATTTATTTTGTTAAACATTTCATTCAACAGTATTGTTTTGCATGTTGTTTGTCCAATCGTTCTATAACAATGTTAGATAGAGATGAACGAATAAAATTGGAGCATTATTAGACTGTTAGACAATAATAAACTATTAGAGGCGGTGGTTGTCGCGCAGCACGTGTTTGAATTTCATGCAAACAGCTTGAAACAACGTATAATAATTGCAGATTGCAAATGCAGATTGCAAATGGTTTCTTTTTCGTATCTTATCATGATTTTACTCAAATTAACATGCATGGCAGCTCTGGTCATAATCTCCACTATCATGAAACCATTTCCGAGGTTTCTTTTTTTTTATTAAAAGAGAATAACATTTCTGTATTTACATAGAAATCACGTGAGTACTATGGTATGGATTGTTCGTCAATTTAGAATATTTGACCCAAGAACTGTACAGCTAAGTTAGTTTCAAGAAATACTTTGAGTTGGAGACCTAGTTTAAACAAAAAACAATAACAGCCTGAGAAGTGACGTATACTACACACTTGAGGGGTTCTATATTTCTATTTAAAGGGCGGTGGTCGTCGTGCCGCGTCCTGTTCGATAATGGACTCATAGCAACGTATACTGTGCGTGTAAAATACATTGTTTACATTTATTTAAATTCGAACACGTGCTGCGCTACGACCACCGTCCTTTAAAGACTCGCATTGCGTATAACACTAGAGAAATATGCCCTATTGCTACACTGTTTAATTTTGTATAAATTCAAACAGAAACGGATACGTCATAAGACAGCGTAATTTACAGAATATATTGGTTGAAACTAAGAACGAGCTGCGACGATGGTGTCCTAACAAGACTCGGACAGCTCAGATAAGGTCGGTATGAATTACGTCATTTTAACTCTGCGATATAAACTTACTGACTGTGAAATTAAAAACAAACAAATTATTTTCAATAGGAATTGATATTAAATATCGGCCCTTATGTAATATTGTGACGTAATATTGAGGTATCAAATAGGATACCTACACCTTACCCTATCAGAGAACTAAATTCGAATAATTAGAGCAATATTTACGAGATAACGGGCTTGGGAAGATCATCGTCATTAGTTTCGAGATAGGAGTCACCTTCATATGATGTCAAGTGTGTAAGTTATCTAACATCTTTTGTACTACTTTACTGGTATATATTACAATATCACTATTCATTTTTTACAGGGATCACCTTAATCGATTGACTCAATCCAACCTTATTATTTCTCAAGGAAACACACCAACTGGGAGGAGGTACTACAATACTTTCTACACACAACCCGTACGAATTGACGAGGCTAAACGCAACTTGCTTCCTGTTGTAAGTATGTCTTTTTGGCATGACAGCACTATGTGATTCGACTACAGAAATCGGAGCAGAGGGATAGCTCAGCCTATTATTCCAGTTACATGCGTGTGAGGGTTTCGTACCCGTTGACATAGTTTGACAAGTTGCGATCCACACAAGGATGTGGTTTTCCCCAATGCTCATTTTTTTGGCAAGAATCCGTTACCATGACAATCTATCCACATTAATCTAAAAAAATGGTTTTCATACAGTTTACTGTACAGTTTTTTAATGTCCAGTGTCACAGTGAATGGTTATAATGTGATACAATGTCTCCCTTTCTCAGACCGTATGCAGAAAGGAGTCCCATCGTTGCAGGCATTGTCGGCGAGGTCCGGCAAATGCAACAACTATATGACTTCATTTGCCAACCGCACTTTTAAAACGTCGCTGCAACATTTTCCAACAAATGTATTGTGGGTTCTATGAGTCCTGGGATGGGAATTCCCTAGAAAGCCGGTGGGCCTGTGCCACCAAAAATCTCGTATCTCTGCAACTTTTCATCTAGCCACAATTAAAACCGATTAAAGTATTTTGCAATTGAGTACACTGCGTTCATATGAAATATATCTAATCCGACTGCCAGTATCCTATGTTTATCGACTCTAGATGGCGCCCTTCTCCGAAAAATCGTTATATATATCCTGTGCCGTGATTGGAAATGGTGGAATCTTGAAGCATAGTGGATGCGGCAAAGAGATCGACAGGTTCGAGTTTATATTGAGGTGAGAGCGACAGTAGATCAAGCCATCATATCATCGCCTGCATTAAATGTGCATTTCGATTATGAATAATTTACTGGTCATTCGATTCATTTAAGCAGGTCAAATCTACCGGTGATTGGTGCATTCACACATGACGTAGGAAGTAAAACCAATTTAACCAGTTTGAATCCCAGTGTCATAAAAAACAGGTAAGTCACATGTTACGTGTTTAATTTCAACATATTTATTAACAAGAAGTGAGAAACACGGAGCTGTGAGAATGACAGAGTGCATTGTATTATGAATAAAGTACCGTAGTGACGGACCATCACCGAGTCGCCTTGATGGCCAAGTTGATGCCAGCCAAATCCGTTTCCGGCCAGGGCTACCCTTGGACGAAAAAGGAGGTCGACGTAGACTACATTAACAGCGACGCAGTCCATTCCGTCTTATTCAATGATGTATTTACACGTATTGTACGTTTCATAAGACCCATGGGGAACACGATGCGGTGCGACGACTGTTGCTTTTCAAACAAATCGTTCAATTTGTTTTCAGGTTTCATTATCTGAACTCGTCAGAAATGACCAGCATGTTCCTAAATGCGTTGGACGAGTACAGTGGATATCTGTTGTGGATACATAACAGTAGAATCGTGGACACGAGTATGGCGTTCAGGATTGCGCAGCTGGTAAAAGAAAACACTACACTGCAGATTTTACTAACCAACGCTGAATTTTTAGGAAATATCGAGTATTGGTGGAAGTCCGGCAAAACTTTATCAACTGGTATTTATTTTAAATAGTATTGCTGAATGTCTCGGTTTTTGACAACAAAAAAGGGAAAATACAGGGGTATTTGTACTTCCGTAATCTGTCTATCATTCTTTTCCGTAGGAATGCTATTAACTAGTATAGGACTAATGCTATGCGAGGAGGTTCACCTTTACGGATTCTGGCCGTTTTCAATAAACTCTGAAGGAATGTCCTTACCCATGCATTACACTGAAGACTTGAACTGGTCCACCTACCATCAAAGTCATGACTATCCGACAGAATTTAAAATACTCACGCAGCTTCACTTGGAAGGTGTACTACACATGCACGTGGACGAGCCGTGTTCTTAATAACTCCCAACTATTACAAGATTGCATATGATTTTAATCTCTGTAACTGTACATTTATATCTACATATATATTCCAACGTCGTTGAAAAGCGGCACACCATGACCATACTGCGGCCATGGTCGCCGTTGTATAACATATCAAAACGCTCAGATAAAACAAGCTGTAATACAAGTGTATACAATTCGTAGCGAGAGCGCCCTCTGTTGATGATTTGGTACATGGCTGCGACAAAGGCAATGCATCAGAAGTGTGCAGAAATGTACGTTTGTCAGACAGTTTTCAGTGCACAGAATGTAATAATTTATTCACAATTGTACATCCTTTGTTTTGAATAAAATAAAATATATGTTCGTACACGCATGTATCAACACTGCCCAATGTGGTGTATTGGAAAATGTCCTCACAAATAGCAATGTTTTTGTACATCGCGCACGTTGGGTCGAAATGTTCTAGGCAACACAGTGTCTATGGCAATTTGAAAACAAAAAATCTTGATATAATTTTCAATGGTTTCGATTATTTTTAAGTAACTCAATACACATCTTCCATTTTTTCCTACGTGAAATACAGAAAATAACTTCTTATACATCTGTGGGCGAGTGCGATAACAAACGAATACGACAATTACTATATTTACAACACATCGTAACTCATATACATTTATTAGATCACATTTTGGTTTATACTTTTACTAGACTGTGATGCACTTGATTAAAAATACCACTTGACATCTTAGAAAAAAGACAATTGTTAGGATTTCAGCAACAGCAACAACAACATCAATATACTATTTTTTAAAAGTATAAATAACATATTTATCACGAGACACTGGATTTGCCCCAGAATCTAAGAAATAAGGATTAGTAGGGTAGTTTAAGTTCAATTTCAAGTGTACCTGCCACACTTTATGGTGGAAACAATTGCGGTGACTACAATCTGTATATGAAAAACAAAAAAAAACATCTCTTAACTTCTTAACTAAACAATTCGGTGAAAAATATCTTGTATATTGTTAATATGTATGGTCTTTATCGTATGATATAAAATTCACGGACAGGATATTACGGTTATGCACCAACAGCAGGTATATTATTGAGTAGCGTTTAGTTTAGTTTTTTTAATTCAACTACACCCTTTCAAAACCATCGACGACTTGATTGCCCGGTTTTCTAGTCTTGTAAGTAATGCTGGGGACAATTATATATGCGACTGAGTCAAAGTAATCTTCGTTCGGTATCATTGCTTCTTATACGGAACAACCGTGACGATACCTGTTGACCCAGTTAGAGGTTATCACTGTTCGCGATAATTCATTGCTGACGTGACGATGGTCCAGCCCACAACCTTGGACTCACTAGGAAACGTCAATGTGTAGAACCATTATGTCTAGGGTGAACGTCAAATGGTTAAAGCGCGGCGGTCGTCGCGCTGCGCATGTTCGACATTTGTGTTGATAAACATTGATTTTCTCACAATCCAATGTGCTCTTCAAATGGTAATCACAAGTATGAGGTTTGACCTGGGCGCGACTTGCACTGAATACTACCGGCTACTCCTTCGATACCGTCCAATCACCTAAAATGACCAAATGCGCATGCGTGGCACCGACGACTACTGCGCTTTAAAGCACATCGAGGGGTTTACCTGTTGCAAGCAGTCCAGCGACGCAGCATTTTCACGGCAGTACTAGGAATCGTGGTTAAGCGATATACCATTATTCAGCTCCTATAACATCCTGTTTCGATTATGCTTTTATCAGATCGAATATTTACGTTGCAAATTACATATTTATATACCCCGGCATTACTCGTTCTCAAGATTCCATGCACTGATTTACATGGAGTTTTATAACGCCATCGAAGTGAAGTTTGGTAAGTAGCGTGAACTCTCTGGAATAATCGTGTACGTAATGGTACGACGACCATTTGAGGTCATCTGTATAGTGCATTAGCAATGGGTTTCCCCGGACGTCCATGCGGAATGGCCAGAAACCATAAACATGGATCTCTTCGCAAAGTGAAATTGCAATATTAACCAGTATCATACCTATAATGTAATTAAGAAATAGGTAATTTGTTGGGTATTGTTTTCAACGGGGATGGACAGTCAGCACCATCATCCAGCAATTTGTCAAAAACATTCGGAACAAAAGAGCGTCCACAGCGTTTCACAAGGACCCCTATTGGGTTGCATACGGGAGCTCACATAGCAAGCGCGTACAATATAATTGTACACACAGACGCACAAAAATTGCAACATTCAAAACAAAACTTGAATGCACGATCACGACAAGTGACTTGGTACTACAGAGAGACGTGCTACATACGTCGCCAAACTAACTATCGCAAGATTCACAGCACGAAACTGGATAGCGTGCAGTGAGCACCGCCCTCATAGTGATCAATTGGAAATGCGCATGTCAAATTTCGACAATGCATGGGGCGTCTATGCACATATGTAAAGCCATACAAGTCATGGCTTAGAAAGAACTTATCCAATTACGTTGCCATTACCGTACCCTGATTCTAGTTACTCACCGGTTGAGATTATCCTTTTTATTTGCCAGTATTTACCGAAATGTCTACAGTGATCAGCGTCTACTAACAATATCTGAAGTCGCGTATCTTCTTGAATGATTTTGGCAGCTTTAAACGCCATGGTAGTGGTTATCGTGGCGCTATTGGGAATCCATAAAAGGTATCCTTCATATTCTTTCAATGCTTTCAATAAATCTGTCTTGTGTTCCTGCTTTTTCAAATGATGAAACCTATGAATTCGAATAAATAAATAAACAAACAAACAAACAAACAAACAAACAAACAAACAAACAAATAAATAAATAAATAAATAAATAAATAAATAAATAAATAAATAAATAAATAAATAAATAAATAAATAAATAAATAAATAAATAAATAAATAAATAAATAAATAAATAAATAAATAAATAAATAAATAAATAAATTAATAAATAAATAAATAAAATATGCTGACCTGAGTTTAATAACACTAGGATTCAGGCTGGTCATGTTGGTTTTCATCCCGGCATCTGTAGAATAGTTTTTAATCGGCTGTAGATTTGATCTGAAAAGTGAGAATATTAAAGGTCTCACCCCTGGCTAAAGTAAAGTTTAGGTAAAACTCTACGATGTGCTCATGTTTATTTAAATTGATTTGTTACTTACAGAGATACAATCTGCAAAAGCAGTTATGTTCAGTTCCATTATGTCTATAAATACTTTAAAGGGCGGTGATCGTCGCGCAGCGCGTGCTCGAATTTCATGTAAGCAAACGATGCATTTTACACGCGTTGTATACGTCGCTATGAGTCCCGCATCGAACACTGACGACGCGGCGTATTTAGTGAGTGACTAGCTTATGGATGACAACGCTATGAAGGCGAACACACAAATTATTATACTACATATATAAATTTGTATCGTCTTCAAGAACAAAGTGAAATAAAACACAATCAAATCACCTGAACACAAAGTCAAAACTATCAATATCTTTACCACAACCACTGTTCTTTAGAACACCACCATTTCCAATAACAGCACATGTCCTGAACAATGTTGTATTTGAAAATGGTGAGACCTGGTGAAATAAAACAATAATATATGTATAAGTAAGAATGGTATATACAGTTACAGTGATCGCGAACTTTTACTTTTCTACTTGAATAGACTACCAAATCCATATCGACAGTCGCAACGATTCAGGTCGATAATAGGATTTGTGTTAACACTATTCAAAGAAGGGCGTTCATGTTGACAATTAGGGATTTCCTTTATAGAGTAATATAGACGCGTTTTGTGTCTTTGTATAATCACCTTTGGAAGCAGCTTCCTTCTAGATCCGTCGATTTTTGCTGCCCTTCTGTGGTATGTGTTGTAATACATTCTACCAACTGGTGAATTTTCTTGGGTGAAGATGAAGTCTGATCCGTTCATTTGATTTAAATCATTTCTGTGTAGAGAATAAAATATAAATATAGCTGCAAGCAGCAACGCTGTTATTCAGAGCTAAATCATTGTTGTTTTACACTCCCCTCAACCTGAATTTATCACATCCACCACAGATTGTGAAAAAACACGTGGTATACTAGATAAAGCAAATTCGCGCGGCAGAGGTGTCATCATTTAAACAAAGGGAACGCTTGATGCTCTCTAAATAAAACGTGCAGGTCATTTACACCGTCATACCCAAATCTTCTGAATGAGAACGGTTCATTCTTATATAGGTGTACCTGATAACTTCTGCTCTAGTTTTATTCTGTTCCCAGTACTGAAGTTTAGTAACAGTTGCAGCCAACATTCGTTGCACACGTCTTTGACGAGATGTTATCTTTCTGGGTGCTGATCTAGAAAACCAATAAACGATATTTGTATCTCAGCTGTCTTGGCGGATATAAGAAGGAGATAACTTTAAAATGACGTTCAACAAATTGCATATTTAATTACACACACTAATTACAAGTGCTGATATTGGAACATTAGTAAAATTGAAGGGGACGTCATCTACGCACGCGCGGAAATTGAGGCCCAAGCGACGATAACAACACACGCTAAAAACGCACATGGTCATGGATAAGCGTTTGTTTGTAAACAACGACACGATATGGCCCGTTTGACGCATGCGCAAGTGACGACTCCCCTTATTGGTAACAGACTATAGAAACAAATACACCACAAGTACACCCATCATATAATACACAGAAATTGTATATACACACAGGTATATATCATATCTGTAACCAGCTAACTAAATGGCAATTTGTCTGTTATAATCACTGAATTGTGACTCAAATCAATTAATTTGGTCTGCACTGATTTATTTAATTTGAAGCATGGTGACGCCATTTCCCCTGAAATTGCAATTGCACTACTATACCAGAGATATGATTATAGTCCATTTATTAAATGCATTTAGTATTAAATGAAACCGACATACTCCTGAAGGTCAGACAAACATTCTCCCATTAAAAAACACATAATGCTAACAAGTTTTACTTTGTGAATAAATTCAACAAAATCATCCCAACAAAAAATGGAATATCTGAAGTGTAAACCTGGTTCATTATACCATATTTTATATTGAAGTTTCATTGGCCCAGCTAGGCGAAGTACTCATTTTAATATGACGTGAGTTCGCCATCTCAAAATCAGATAATGCATACAGGGGTACTTATCATAACCATACATTTTTTTTTAATTTCAGTGTGACCCACCCTCTGGTCATTTCCACAAATCAATAACAAGAATTCATACCAAGGCAAATTATCTAGTTAGACATAACAGCGTCCTTAATGAATGAATAAATAGATCCAATCATGATAGCCTACAGAATACTAACCATTAAAAAGAATGCTCCACACAACAAACCGAAAAACATAGAAGGCGATATTCTTTTATATGATGATTTTTTACTGTAAGTAACATTTATTGTTTGTTTTGTTTGAAAAATATTAAAAGAAACATATTTACGCTTTTTTTGCTGGGACTGTATTGTTTGATGATATATTGACATTTCTTTCTATTGTCTTTGTCTCATCTATAATAACAGAAGTCGTATTTATATTCGCATTCGGCATATTTCTTCCAGTCATATTTATTAGGCATTCTATTGGTCTGAAACAAAGAAAGGCACATTTTAAAACCGGTTTACCCGAAGCAACTTATGAATCAACTCGCTGATGCATGTGTTGCTCCACGAGTTCCAGTGTGTGATATAACCGCATCGCCAAAGTAGACAAGGAAATATCGCATGAAAATCTGTCGCGTCGGATTTTCAACAACTAGTCGCCCGTCGCCAGTTATTTTTACCCGTTTCTGTCATCGCATTGCCTCATGCATTTTCGCGGCATATTGCCTCTAAAATTGGCTTGCGAAAAACTGTACTGTGTAGTAGTACTGTGCGTAAATCTCACTGTAGGTATAGCATGTACGTTTTATTTAGACATTGTCTTGATGAAAACAGGATGACCTTGCAATCTCATGAACACGTCTGTACAGCTTAAATGATTCTCCCTTCCCACAAAACACTTCTCCGTATTATATATCCTTATTTGTACCAATCTCGATCATGCAAGCGTGCATTTTTTGTGTAAACAGACGATAGTCCGGTTCTGTCAATCCTAAAAAATATAACATGAACTATTCGAAAAATTCGAACCAGTGCTAACCAAACATGAGGCTATGGTTGGATTGCAGTATTGTGCATTGTAGATTTATTGCGCCCATGTAGAACGAATACGAACCAGATTCCCAACCCTACTCAACGCATTGGATCAATATTGCGCCGTATCCCAGAAACAAAAGCGTTTAGAGGTGGCGACAGATGCGTTTGACCCGGTCGTCTCGGGCGAGAACAACACGGCGTGATGATCAACGAGATGATATAGAATAAACTGATTTTGTCACGGATCTAACTTAGTAGAGAACAGCTGTTATATCAAATACTGTCAACAAGCAAGCTGTGCCATGATTGGTCTGACTGTTAGGCGTTAGGTTCAGATAGCCAATCAGACACAGTCTTATAAGTAGCTTCGCAATAATTCTGTGGTCAGAATTTGATAACGTGCTAGTCGATGAAGTCTGAATGACATAGCATTACACATGCCGTGAACACACCTTTAAATTGACAATTGATTTGCCTAAACAGAACTCACGCATAATGATTTTATAACGGTTTTGTTACTTATTATCATATATTTTCACTATACAAACCAGTGAGATGACTGAAAAAGTAAACTAAATTAAAATTAAACACATCATAAAAAGTGGGTATAAATAAAATAAAATAAATATAGTCCAGAAATGATAAGATAATTTAAGCATTAATACTTCAATTAAAAATGTATCACGTACACACATATGATAACAGCTACGACCATACATAATGAACGATTTGGCGGTTTTGTAAATATCGTACATTTACTGAATTTCATTGTTGCTGATCGTGTTTTCCATGCGTTTGTAAATGGGTCCGTGGTTTCGATTTGCCACGATTGACTTGGAGACACACCCTTTTCTCCATTGCAATGTGTCGCTTTGAACCGCAATATGCATTTGTTAATAGTTTATTATACCACTGTTATGCATTGGATGGTTTAAAATGGCGTCATACCGATTGTTCTAACTGCGTAATGACTTGCTGCCTTCATAAAACAAATATCGATGAAACAGATGTTTTTTTTACAAACTGGTGAATCAACGTTATTATATATATAGTTTTCGATTAATTTTACACAATGTTTTATGTGGCGTTTATTTGCATTATCAAACAATAAAAAAACCAATCGTGAAATCTTTAAAAAATCATGGAATGAGAATAAGCAGATTCAGCATAACGCAGTGTTCCCACAAATATTGACCACTACACCGTGCAATCAGGCAACACATGTGTGACTACCCGTACAGATCATTAAGTACATCGGATTTAGAATAGTATCTCTATTATGTCACGATGCATGATCCAACAAATAATAACTGTAAAAACAAAACAAAACAAACACTTACGGACCACTCCGAGTGTGCTCTGTACTTATCCTACGTGCCGGAATCATGTACACATGTGAGTATAACACGACGGAAGCGCCAAACATGCACACGAATATAAACCAGGATAGCACGGACAGTGTTCTTTTTTCGCGTGACATGAACATTTTGCGATTCCACACACCTTTCATTCTCAGGTGTCAGAACAGCGCTTGTCTGGTGGGTCCGCTCACTGCTATTCAGATGAACAGCATTGCCAACGCCTCCGAAATTAGTTTTGGAACATCACTGAGAATAAAATCCACGGTTTTTCGCTGCACGCGTGCGTTTGATTTAAATACAACAGGTGGGCTACTTTTAGTGAGAAGATATTAATACCATGCCGTGGGCGCAGTGACGTCAGCTAAGCTTCAGAATGATTTCTGCTGTTGATATATATCAGTGCAGTGGAAAGGGATGACAAAATCAGGGGTTGGGGCTTTGGACCTGAGTCGACAATGGACAGACATGATTAGGAAGGTCATTGACAAAATGACTGACTGATGATGAATATCATACAATAACATCGACAGATTCGAATAAAATGGCCGTTGGCGTAATTATTACACAGAGGGAAATTCTCCGAACATTTGAGATATCGCATTTAGGGTTTAAATTGAAAGGTTTTTTTGACCGAGGTTGTAGAAATAATAAACAAGACATCGCGCGCATTTAAGTATTTTCACATGTTTTCCAAGTGAATGCCCCTAACCCTGTGAATTTCAGAATGAATTACATGCAAGCTCGTTATTTTGAGAACGTATTTAATCTGTTAGAGATTAGCCTCGTTCGCACGTAGGCGGTGGTGAATCCGCATGGTTCCAGGGGTATCACTGTACCGAACACACCACAATGGCATAGCGAGTGTGTAACTTGCCTCTATTAATCGCACCGTATTGGTGAAGATATAAACAGTAATTTCCTACCCAGGTGACTTGTCACTATATATTTGTATTTAGTGTGCAATACTGATTGAAGATATATGAAATGTTATTACCAGTAAAGGACTTTTTTGCTATATAACATGAACGCTGAAGACAGTACAGAACCCATCGACCTCCGCTACGCGTCGCTCGATACGACGCCGTACTGCCTTCATGCATACTTTGCGGCAGTCTCGTGGTAACCTCATAGTGTCAGTATTTGCTGTTCATATCACGAGTAGATACTTGGTGACTAATTTCTATATAACTGTGGCTTGTATAATTTAAAAACAAAGCATCATACAATCACAATATTGTATTCACTGGTATACTGGTACTGGTTCACTGGTAAAAACCACAGGGTAGCGTACTTATAAGATCTTTGGGAATAGTTTGCCAACTCAAGCATAATATAGATCACTTTCTCCCCAAAAACATTATTCTGTAACATAAAAAAATTATATAAAAATATATTCAATCAAATTAACAAGGAAAACTACCAAAATCGAAGGAAGTTACACAAAATATTATTTGGCCGGCAACCGTCAGTTTAAAACAACATTGAACTGTTTTAAAAATTGCATTGTCATCATTAAAATGTTATAAATGTAACACATAAACCATTAATGTGAAATTATTTATTTAAAGGAGAGGCTCATGTTTATTAAAGGTTATACGGCATTTTTCACTGCAATGGTTACATTAATTCTAGAGGGTTTTATGCACGACTTGAGGCGAAAAAGAGTTTCACGCACTGTGCGGCCTATCTCACAGATTAGAATTATAGAGCTTCAAATAAACAAGTTATAACGATGTCTCACACAAAAATAGAATGTCGTGACTTATTTATTGATCCATTCATTTATTTAATCACTTGAAGAATGATCAACGGATCAGGTACCCGATTACAAGCTCTAAAATATACAGAAAATACATTAATTAAATATACAGGGCAAATATAATAAGACAAACAATAACACTGTAGAACTTGTCGGGATTGAGCCTAACAAATTATTCAAACCTTTAATGCATCGTACATTTGTATTGAGTATTTAAAAATGTTGGTGCGGCTCCGTTTAATCTAAGGTACTTGAGATCGCGTACCATTATGAGTGTTTGTATACAACCAGAACTGTTATAAAGAGAATTATTTATATAAAACATTCATAGTATCAAGATAAGATGGCCTCAACTAGAGTTCAGGAAGTTTGAACAATTCATAGAGGTCGTGATAATTTTCACTCTCACACGGAAGTATAGACTTGGAGGATACAACTTCGACACACTCACGCTGAACCCCATCCACAAGTGTCACCAATCTGATGTGGTACCCGCATACACGTATGACATGACAATTGCATTCAATTGTCTATGTCAATACGTGTTAACTTTCCCATGCTTATTACTTTAATGTTCACATTTTTCTTCTACTCGCATTGACTGTCTTTTATATCACTGACTCATTCTGCTATATAGGTCAGCCATAAAACATTAATTATTGTGAATGCTCCAAGATTTTGCGAATTTTTCTTGTTGAGCACAGTGATTTCTGTATAATTATGCACCCGATTGTAACAAAATTTAATTTGACATGCTCCGTTTTGTTTTGCGGTGAACATCTCGTTGAGCACATTATATGATGTTCATTGTGTGTGTATTTATGTTTGGCACCGACACATCCAGTTATTTTATTGTCCAATAAGTCGAGTTTTTATGTTTTTATATTACTTTACTATTTTATTTGTGATTGTTTTCTTTACGTAAATGTTAGCCATATATGTACTTTAAGGATTCTTGTTTTGAACATGCAAAAACCAGTTGCCATGGTATTTTACAACCAATAGACAACACGAACCGAATGAAGTGAATTTTAAATCCTAGGCTAAATTTGTTTGAAATTTGAGAAATATCGTTATTTTAAATTTTATTTTATGGCAACAAATACTGAATAATACAAATGCCACGTCGAATTCAGACTAGGCCATCGTTGCTCAGAGGCATATCTCAGAGATTTGTAACTACTGTTTGTTTGCTACGGAAGTGAGTCACAT